TAGACGCGGTTTAGGGTAGTTTAGGGGTTGATTAGGGTGCTGATCGTGGTTGTTGGTGGCTGATCATGGCTGTTAGTGGCTGTTGCATGTTGGATTAGACATCTAGGAATGAGTTTTGTGGGTTGGAGATCCATGGGTGTGAACTAGAACTTGAATCTTGGTTGTTTAGTTCAAAACTCGGATTCGTGACTACTGTACCTATCCGGATTGTTATTTTTATGGAGAATTTTGTGGGCCGAATTTGAGGAAGTTTTCTTCACAAAAGTTTCTCCCAACATCTTGACGTATAACATATTTTAAATTTATAATTTTTGGAGGCCATTTGGGTCGCACGAAAACCCATTTTCAGACCGTCTTAAAACTGCCCGGAACACTGTTCATCCCGACCTTCTTGTCTTGCCGAATTTTTATAAAGTTTTCCATATCTATTTTCAATAAACTTCCTTCACAAAATTTGTTGGTGACTTTCATTTCTATGACATATAAAAATTTCAAAGCTTTTCAAGGTGATTTGGATGATGAAAGAAATGTATTTTGAGGACAAAATAGTCTGTTAGAGCGAACTGATTCTGGTCTGCCTTCGAGGGAAAAAAAGACAAGGTTGTAGATTGAACCGGATTTTGTGTTCTTCATAAGAAATGTTTATCAAGATGTTTTTTATGATATATCCAAAATTTGGAATTTTTGGAGCGCGTTTACTATTTATTTTGATGGGATTTCGGTCACTGTGTAAACTGCTCAGATTTACCCTGATTCTATGGATGTTCATTTTTATGAGCGGAATGGTGGGGGTGTCGAGGTTGAATAGTTGCTGCCCTCATGACTAGAATTGATGCTTGAATGTGTGTTTGTATGTGGGCTGAATTGAAATGGTTGAATTGGGTGCATTTAATTAATGTTCGAGTATGTGAACGTGTGAGAGTTGAGGCGTGTGATGTGCGTGTGATCACTAAAAAGCCATGAGGCGTGTTTACACGGGGTACAGATAAAATACGGTGTGTTGGTATGTTCGTGTGATCACTAAATCCCTGAGGCGTGTTTACGCGGGGAATTGAACCGGCCTGAAGCATGTTTACGCGGGTTGTGATACGACTGTGGGATCGGACCGAGGTGTGTTATGCTCGGGTTGCGATCATGTAGGCCTGAGGCGTGTTTACGCGAGCTGAGGAAAGAAAGTGAGAATGGGATCAGGCCTGAGGCGTGTTTACGCGGGTCGCGATCCTGTAGGCCTGAGGCATGTTTACGTAGGTTGAGGAAAGAAAGTGAGAATGGGATCGGGCCTGAGGCGTGTTTACGTGGGTCGCGATCATGTAGGCCTGATGAGTGTTTATGCGGGCTGAGGAAAGTGATTGAGCACGAGATGGTGCGATATGGCAAGTTAAATGAAAATGATGTGGTGGTGCATGAACGAGTGTGAATTGTGGAGTTCGAGAATGTGGTGTGTTTGACATGTGCCTTCGAGCATGGGATTGGGTTGGAAAGTGCATTCGATTTGTAAATGTGAACGTAAGACTAACGTGCCGTTGTGTGTATTGAGAACTAGGTAAGTACGATTGTGTGGACATTATTTTTTGTGTTGCTTGATTCGGTGTTTGGACTTGTCTAGAATACGTGGTAGTCTAGGTAAGGTTTAGGTTGTATACTTATTGAGAAGTGTCTCATGATTGTATCAACCAAACCATTTTAAAGCACCCGCCCGAGCCATGAACCTTCCGTCGCCGCCACCGCAGCGTTTTGGGATTGTTATGCACACTGATCATGATGCTGTAGAATGCCTGATCGAGATTGAGGCCGATTCGGAGTCATCGGATGAGCATGTGCCTAATGAAGATTCGGATGAGGATTTCGAAGAGAGTGAGTCAGAGTGGACACCATCTAGAGGGCGTAGGGATTAGTTTTGGAGCTGAGGAAGAGTTTGGAAGTGTCCCATTTTGGTGTAGTGCTTACCCACGCTACTGATGTTTTTGTGATATCGGTGGTTTGCAGTTTGGTAGTTCAGTGTGCATATTTTGCTTTGTGGTTTGTAAATGACGGTTGTCGCATAAGTTTATATTGTAAATGGATATCGTACTTAAATTGAGGTATAGTATAAGATTTGGTGGTTTGGTAATTTATTCTCCCTAGTACCCCTGGTAAATCATTGTCTGGGTGTTTGTTGTTTCCGCCGCGATTAAACTCTGATGGGTTCGTTTTGGGTCGGTGACGCTTCCTGGGACGTCGCTCTAATTCGACCGAAGAGGGATGTCGCATACTCGATGGGGTTCGGGCCGTGACACTTACGTATTATACTCGCATTTTGCCTCTTCAAATCAGTTTTGTATACTACTCTTAGTCCCTAGTATTGCTCCGTTTTTGGTAGTGTGTTGGTAGCTCTTTGGATCCAAAGTTTCTCTTGAACTTTTTAGATCTTGACTTTCAGTAGTAGCGGCACCCTTTTGTCACAGTGATCTTACTTGCAAAAGGAATTACAACTGTGAGTTAGTAGAGTGTTTTTTCCCTCGATAAGTGCATAGTATGTGGATGATGGTTATGCTGATTAGCACAAAATCATATGTGAAATGTTGATGTTAGTACTTGAAACTATATGATTAGATAACAAGTGTTGGAATAAAGGGTAATTGGAATAACTTAAAATCTTTAGAAAAGTATTAGTTTCTTTTTATAGATTATATAGTTTACCTGTAGGGCACCAAGGGGGTGCAACCTATATACAAAAGGAGCCCAAAAAACTACAGCCATATATAAAACAACTCCCAAAACTGAAAGGGAGCTTAAATACCAGATAAATCATTGACTAATCAACCAAGGCATTTACATCTATATGCAAGTTTGCACCATATCAAAAGTGTATGACTTTAAGCCAATTTCCATCAAATAGAATGGAAGATTTCTCTTCATCAGAAGCTCTCTTGTTCCGCTCCTTCCAAATCAGCCAAAAGACACGGGAATTGAGTTAATCCAACTTGTTGTGCTGTTAATGAATGCCCTGCCATGCCCAAAGTTCTTGCTCGATAAAACCTCCGGTAGCCCAAGATAACATGGTGCAAGCATAGGAAACTGTCCAAACCGTTCCTGTCCAAGTACAGTGAAGGAGGAGATGCTGCACGGACTATGCCTCCTTTTGCTGAGGAAACACCTGTTTACCAGTTTTTGCCTTATTTCTAAAGTAAGGATTCGTTCCCAGGTTTCTTCCCAAGCAGAAAGAGAAACTCTAATTGGAATCCTCACTTTCCAAATTGCTTTCTGAGGAAAATCTGTTCTACCACGAATCTCCCTATCGAGCAGATTGTCGTAAGACTTTACAGAAAAAATTCCATCTCTTCCGTTGTTCCACACAAGAGCATCCTTAAAAGCAACAGAAATCTTTGAATTATGCAAGACATAAAAGAAGGCAGGCAAAAGCTTCGAACTCCTAATCTTGGGCTTGGCTCATGGACTCAATATTCCATATGATCATTTCGTTGTTTAAACGATAACAATCTGCAACCAAAGCTTCCTTGTTCCTTGAGAATCAATTTCCATTGCTGGGGAGTGTAAGTTTTCTAGTAAATCTGCCCCAAATTGGAATAAGATTCTTACAATTGAAAATCTCAGGAAACGGAATTTGATTTTCATAGAATGGTGTTGTGTGTGAAAGCATTTGGGGCAAAATGTTGATCATCTCTTTCTTCTTTCTGACTCCGCTCCCAAGCTTTTGCATCAAATCTTTGGCTTGTCTAAGGTGGTTTGGTTCTTGCCATCAGTTTTTTAGTTGTTGGAATGCCTAATTAGGAGGATCAATTTCCAAGAAGTCCTGAAGTGCCGCACCTTTGTCTCATGTGGGGCCTTAGGAAAGAAAGCAACAAAATGTAGGGTTTGGAATCTTTGGTTGCTTCTGGGTTGTACCTTTTAACCAGCTTTGAGCATTATGTTCTGATTATGTATACTCTTCTAATGCTTTATTTTTGTTTGTTTTTCTTTTGTTTTTTTCTTATATATACCGATGTACTGGAACTTTTTCTTTCAACAAAATCCTTTATTATCTAGTGAAAATATATTGCCAGTTTATTCCCCTGCCAGATCTCTGTCCATGCATGTGGGCATTTGTGTGTTGTGAACATATGCTTTGGTGTGCACCTATGTGCTATCATGTGCTTGCACAGGTGTTCCCCCACATGTACATGCACACTATAGGGCTGTTGTTAATTAGATCAGATTCTGTGCTTCTCTTGGGTAGAATGACTTATGTACGCGCTACACATTCTTGTTTTTTTTTGGTAAGGAGCGCTACACATTCTTGTTGATTACAACTAGAGTGAGAAATGATGTTTCTAGTTATATTCTTTAAGGTTATAGACTCTCCTGTTTTATTTTTTGATAAGTAAGTCTATTATTGAGCAACAAGAGCACCAAGGGGATGCCTCTTATTTACAAATTACCACCTATAAGTTCATATTTACCTTCAAAATTAAAGAAAGACTAGGTGTCCCAATAACTGCCACCACAATGTGAAAAAAATAAGGTGGAAAGCCAAAAATCCATTACAGCACCTATAGAATTTTCCTCATCTTTAAAACCCTGCCTATTTCTTTCTTACCAAGCGTTATGAACTCTCTTTAAGTCCATGGTACTGCTGATCAATGCTTTCAAGCTCCTTTCTCCTTTTGTCTATTCAAAATGCGCATTCACGACGGTGTAGAATTTCGTGGAACAATTTCCAAAAGATAAAAAGATTAAGCTATGAAATGAAGATGTGGTTTACTATTTAAACGTTATAATACTCCGCCTCGCTCGTAGGCTGGGACTTCGCCTTAGATTGAAGTGTAAACATTTGATAATTGGGGAGATAAATAGGTAACGGGGAGAGTTTTGAATCGAGTACCTCCTACTCTAGTTCCATGTGGAATTTTTGGGACTAGTGCTAAGTGGTCAAAAGCGTACGCTGTTGGATAGAGATGCGGTTCAATATTTGAATGTTGTAAAGAAATTGCCCTTCCCCAAGCTAACAACAGAAGGCCTAGGTCTTTGTCTCCTTGAAAACACTAGCAATTCCTGTCAATATTGTGCTTATAGCCCGCAATTATCACATAAATGGCCTCTCTCTCTCTCTCTCTCTTATAGAGCGACTTTAGGGCAGGACTTGATAATTTCTCATGAACATTCCAAACTTCTATCCTGCTTGCATGAATTGGATAGCAGACTAGGTTGCATTTCTTTAATGAATTTTCCATTGTAACTTTTATTTGTCAGAGACTCTAGAGCATGTTGTTAAGTTCAAACAAGTTTGCAGAAGATGAAGATGGCTTGTAATGACCATTTACTGTGTAAAACATTTTCTTTCGTAAACTTTTAACTTTGATGGTTCCAGCGTGTAACTTATGTGTTCAATGCTATTTTTATCCCTCATGAGTGTGTCAGTTTACTTAATAAGAGATGATATTTGACTTATGGGGTTAAGTAATTGAAGTATTGTTATTTACTTAGCAGCCTGCTGTAGAAATTATTGGCTTCAGAATGGGTGAGCTCAGGGGTCTTTCAGGACGGCGTTCTCGTTATCTAGGTATTGGTTTGGATGAGACACTGGTGGATATTGCAGTAGAAAAGGCTGGAATTCTACTTCTACAGGTTGAGTGATTCATAAGGGTGCTCTCATATGTTGTGCAGCCGGTATGCCTGTTAAAATCTTTCTTATGATTTCTCTACCTTTCTTGATAAATGTAAGTGACTGATGTCAAAGCCAAGTGATCAACTTTTAACATACAATAGGTTTGTCTAACTTTTGTCAATCAGGGTCTTTCCTTATAGTGAATTCCTATATACTCTTGTGAATTTCGACAGTGAACTTGTTGTCGTGTTCTTGAAGTTTCTATATGATCAAGATCCGGTCATGTAGCTTCTGGATCTATCTGAGGCTGATGAAGAAATTGACATTGATCCGCGAGTGATTTTCTCTAACTTGTTCTAGTTCCTAATTATATGTCCTTTACAGTATGGCACCTGGAACCCCAGAATCTTTAGTTGTTAGTTGTTTATACCTGATGGACGTACCAAATGGAATGTTTGGCATCACCATGTATAGAAAGCTTCCGGTAGAAATTCCTTGTGTACTTATATCTTGAAAGTTAAACTTTTTCCTGTCATTTCAGTTCACATATACTTTTTTTTTTGGTCGAATCACATATACTTTTTACTTAGGCTGAGTTGTGACATGTCATTATCGTTGATAGAATGGCTAACCATTGAATTATAAATTTTTTCTCTTGTGAATTATCTGTGAGTTTTGCTTCTTGATCTTCTTAATGAATTTCATTCAGCTAATAAGAAAAGGTTCGCCTGGCCCTAGTCATAGAATCATATGTATCATCCGGAGACATGAAGCAAGACTGGATTCATAATTGGACATTAGATGACCTTATAATTCCAAGGGTGGTGGGTCATCTCTTCATCCTTGTGCCTGAAATTTGGTGAGGCAATGGTTTGGATACTGCGAGGTGTGGTCAGCTTAGTATTGCCTTCATGTACTCTAGCGGCTAATTTTGTTGGCCTTTGCTAGGTTGTGCAATCCATTTATATAGCAGAGAATTAGAATATTAGGGTGTAATGGAAATTGGTCATGCTTTAAATGTCGGAATGATATGCTATCAAGCCTAGTATTATTTTCATGTGCTTTAGCGGCTGACTTATGCTTTAAGGCAATGTGACCAAATTAGTTGCCAAAACTGAGGATATGAGTTAACGGACACCCACCAAAGCACTAAAGCTAGGATCTTTCCTGCAATAACACCTACAGGTTCTCCCAATTCTATTCCATGACTGGAACAAGAAATACTTGAGCACTTCCACTAGATGAGGTTGACTCGGGTTAGGGTGGTTTGCTGGGCTTCAACTGTGGTTATTGTTGGTCCAGCACTATTTTAAGTAACCGCATGGTAACCAGGGTTGAAGTTGACGGGTTGATTATTGTTTCTCATTGGATTGGACGGTCTCACATTCTGAAAGATCAAATGCAATTCCTTGCGCTTTTCCACTTTGATATATCTTGTCAGGTTAGTAAGATGTCTTACCCTCGTTATTGTCTCAGAGAAACAATGCAGAGAGTTAGAGAATTACCGCAGTTTAGAGGATTTGGGGGCACCGAATATTTGCGGAGGACACTTGCGAAAGAATTTCAACAGATGGAACGCAGGTATTAGCAAAAGAATTAGAAAGTTGAAATGTAATAGAATCTTGGTCGTGTATAGAAGTTCTTACTTGAATGTGTTGCTTATTGCTCTTTCATCATAAATTCTTCACATTAATGCTAATCTACTTTTTCCATCAATTAATGTTCTTAAACATGCTACCTCAGTGATAAAATTATGAACTATGTGATAAATAATTGCTGTTATCTGTTGTTTGGAGTGATTGCTTTTTCCGCCCTTCAAGTCTGGTCAGCATTGGTGATATGTGCACCAAATGTGCAATTCTGGATCTCTTTGTATGCATAACAGGAGTTTGAGTATGATTACCTAGGCTCAAAATTGGTTTCTATAAACATTGCAATCCTTAAGAAAAAAAACTTGTGCTTTTGGTTTTAACAAACTCATCAATTATTTGAGCTAAAATATTCATTTCTTGTTTGGCTGATTCAGGAATTCTGTTAATTGGGTTTGTCTGTAGATATTTCTATTCATATGCCTATTACCATAAAGTTGTATTTATATTTTTCATTTCTTTGCCTAAGTGACCGGAACCTTGGTACCATAATGAGAGAAGGAGAGAAAGAAGAGGAAACCATTCGGGGTTATGGGTTGTCTTCCGGAGGTTGTCCTCAACAATGGTTTTTCACTCACCCTCTGTCTAATAATCTAGTTTTTCGTATTTAATCTCAGGTTTGATTACTTGACAATGTACATGGAAGCTTCAGTTGGGTGATCTTATCGGATTGGGCTCTGTTTAGCTTATGATCCTTGTGTATAGAAATACCGTATCTCATGTTTCCTGATTAGGAACTAATTTGATCATCACATTTTCAAGAAAGCTTCCCTGATGTCTTTCTCTTCTATTTCGAAAAAAATACTTTTTAAGAATTTATTGCCACTCTTCCCTGTTACGTCAGTTTCAGCATCCACCAGATACATTCCCAATTCACTGCCCTTCTATGGGGTATATGCCTTTAATCTGAAACTACATATATTATCCAGAGATCCACATATGCAGAGCAGAACTACTTTTTTTTCATGCTAGTCACTTCTCTGTGCGTCTCTGTAGGATGACTCTGAATTTGCTTTGATGGACTTCTTGAACTTGATTCTTAACAGACTATATTTTATTCTTCATATTTTATGTCACGCCCCGAACCCCATCGGGTACACGACATCCGCCACTGGTCGATTTGTGCGACATCCCAGGGTTATCGCCGACCTCACATAACCATCAGAGATTTAAAGCCACAGGGGATACAACAACTAATCCCAGACAATTTAAAACTGGGGAAAACATTCAGGGAGAATACACATATTTCTTTTCATTACCAACCTATAAAATATTTACAGATTACAACCACCATAAGCACCAGCACACTGCAATTAAACCACCAGTACACCAAAAAGATCATTGACCTGGTATTTTGACTTCAAAAATGGTACTCATCCAAAACACCTATTCTTAACCCCTACATTAGCCCCTACGCCCCTTGCTAGGCATCCATTCCGAGTCTGACTCCTCGTCCCCTGAATCTGAACTCTCCTGATCGGTCTGTTGCTCTAAGGATTCCGACTCTGCATTAATCTCAATCGGGTGATTGATATCGCCCGATTCCGTTGGAATTGCATTCTGATACTTCTTAGCCAGAAAATCGAAGAAATTGATCTCAGGTACGTAATTAGGATCCATGTATTCCTCAAACGGAAGTATATACTCCGGGTCTCCTACCGGCTCTTCCGACTCCTCAGACTCGTCATTAGGCTTTACCTCGGGTTCTACTTCGGGCTCCGCTTCCTCTGGTTCTTCCTCGGGGATCGGTTCCAAGTCTATGTCCATCGGGTTGTCCTCAGCCTGAGATACTTCGGGTTCTGGTTCATGCTCAGCCCCTGACGATACTTGCGCGGCCGACGCCGAATGCATTCCCGACTGGGCTAGACTAGTCTCTACGCTGGTCAACTCACCATCAATAGGGGGTATTGCAGACGGGTCCCAGTCCCTTACTAAATCAAATGGGACATCAAAACCCCTTACGGGCCCGAACTCATCCCCGTCAGCATCCCAGAAGAACCAGGCCGTATATACATGAGTCTCCCAAAGAGGTAGTCCTACCTCTACAAATACGGTAGTAGTATACCTAATCCAGGTCGCGTTATCTGTCATAGGGAATTCTGCAATATCGTTCTCGGAGTGCACTGGTACCCCAAAACGCATTGGTGGCGATGGTGGAAGATTCATGAGTCCTATCGGGGTTCTGAAATTTTTGGTTGAAACAACCGTGAGAATACTTCTCAGTAAGTTTACCCCTAAACCCCACCTAGGCTATCACGTACCTCTAGACAATCACCCAAACACACGTTCGCACACATACCATTATCACATAGCAGGCACATCAATACAATCACAAGCATGCACAATTTTCATGTCATGCACTCGTTCCGTTCTCATCATATCTCACCCACATTCCTCGCCAGTGACCAGCGTACACGTACACGCCTCAGGTACACTGCGACCTCTTTTCACAACACTTTCGGGCCAGCGTAAATGTACACGCCTCAGGCCATGTTTCTTGCCCGCGTAAACGTACACGCCTCAGGCTCAACATCTACCACCTACTACGCAACCCGCGTTGAAGTAGACGCCTCAGGCTGGCAGTCTTCCGGTAATACCGGGCATCGTCCCGTGTAAACGTACACGCCTCAGGACGGTACAAATTCCACGATCACCCATGCCATCTCATATTCACTTTCTTACTTATTCACATGCTCAACAAGCATTTGCCACACACAATTGACCCTTCACACGTGGCCTGTGCACGCATTAATTACACGAAATCCATGCACATTCAGCATTTGACATGGCCAATAAGAATAATTAAAATAATCTAGCCCACGCGTGCACCCAACAGGCATAATTAAATCAACCAATTACACAATCACACATTCAATTTCACCATCCCAACTCAATTATATTTCAAACGCACGTAAAACACAGAAATCGCTATTTTTCTCTAACCAAACGGCCTCAAATTAATTCCGGTCCTTCACGGGACTTTCTCACCATTAATTCTCAATTCTAAAAATCCAACTTGTGTCCCGATCGGCCCATCACAGCCCCATGAACAGTAGACCACAGCCACTGTTATCCTCTAATTTCCAATAAAAATTGCCCGAATTAAATCCTAAGGCCCGCCACAAAATTTCCACTCCCAATTCATGCAATTCCGCACCTAACTTATACCAGATTTCGCCCAAAAATCGCCCATCGATACCCAAAGTCCTAAGTTGGGTTTAGAGCGCGACTTACCCGCGTTCTAGACTATCGCGGCTAGAACAGAAAGCGGCGGCACTTAATCGGGAACGGCGGCGACGACGTATGGCTTCCGGCAAGTGGCGATCGGCTTGGGTGGTGACGGCGCGGCTTGGGCGGTGGCCAGGGGGCTCACGGCCAAGAGAGAAAGACCGAGAGGGAGAGAGAGAACGGCGGGATGGGGAGCGTGAGGCTCAGCGGTGGCGCGGCGACGATCTGGCGAGCATGACCGGCGGCGGTGATGGCGCGGCGGCGATCCAGCGGAGGGGGAGAGAGTGTGATCTGTCACGCCCCTAACCCCATCGAGCTCGCGACATCCCCTGCTCCGGTCGAAATGATGCGACGTCCCAGGAACGTCGCCGACCCAACCCAAACATCAGAGCCACATGCAGAAGCGAATAACAAAACCCCGGACAAATAATGACGACAACGGGGTAGAACAACAG